TATATATATATATACACACATATATATATATATATATATTTATATATATAAAGTCCTATGCTTCCACAAATACTTTGATGATACAACATCCATTCACAATTTGTACACAAATTCAGTTTTCCACCCACACAATTGCAGATGAAAAATAGGCAGAATGATTTGCCCTCAATTGATGAAGAACTTGCTACAATTTTTCCTGAAAGACCAGAAGCAACAAAGAGTGCTCACAGAGATTATACAAGAGAACCACTGACAGGGAAAACTAAGGTACAGTCATGTTTCTTTGGTTTGGTAGACTACCCTCCCCCTATTTCCCAAGCCTCCACCAAATTCTGACCCCATAGAAAAAATAATAAAAGATTTGATTGTCTCTTGCCAGTGCTTCTATGATTTTTAACAAGAAATAAAGGAAAATTGAAAGTGGAAATTAATGATTTGGATGCTGCCAATCAGGAAAATTTCAACCAGACCAGCTGCTATGTGTTTTTGCTTGTGTTTTTAATGCAGGCCTAAAAACATTTCTGTCCAAATGTGGTGATCGCCCGTATACCAATAAGTGTCCTGACATGATATTTTGTTTGATTTCATATTGGCTATCACTTTGACATGATTGCAACTTGCAAGCTTAACAGTTCAGTTAATTGGTTGGATTTTTTTTCTTTTGCTCATAGTTTATCTCCTATTTAATCCAGCTATGCTATTTTAGATGTAGATACTAATGCAACCAAGCAGTGCCTATTATAGATATTTGTTGACATGTATTTTATTCAAATCTTTTTTAAGTTTACATTTATGTGGAAAGATTTACATATGTTGGCAACTCATGGTATCAAATTTGAAAACAGAGTTTATGCAAAACAGATTTAAGTATTCTTCTGTTTTCACTTTTTTTTTTGCTAGAAAATGAAAAGAAAAAGACTTTTCAAAAATGTGAGTAAATTAAAATGAGTTTTCATTTCCCTTTGTTTCATCAAACTAACCAAACCCTGTTTTGTGTATAGTCTTTTTAACCCAGATTATTTCCTTGATTTTTAAAATAAAACTTTGTTTGTTCGTTTGATGTAGCTTAACCCTATACTAACTAAAGTTTACCAGAAACACTGAAACATTACTGTATCTTTATTTTCAAAATGCTGTGTATATCATCTTGTGCACTATTTTTGTCTCTGTGAACTTATTAACCCTTAAGATTTGATTTTCATGTAACCAGAAAGCTGATGTCTCTGGGAAATGTTGAATGTTTGATAAAAATGATGAAAGTTATTTGCGTTTTGAATGTTTAAATGAAAATTCCATTCATTGTCTTGGTATTTGTTTGCTTTGTAAAGTTTTGTGTTATTTATTTGTTTGCCAGATTTAAAAAAGTTTTTATTTCAGTTTCCTCACCTCATTAAATTGTATTTACTAAGTTTAACTTGGTCTGTATGTACCTGATAACAATGGCACTCTACTAGTAAACTGATTTGTCAGTCACGATTATTTCGTTCATTAACTGACTGTGTTCATCTTTCCACTAACTATTATTATATGTTCAGAGTTAAACCAGTTTTGCTGCATTGAACTATTTGAAATGTGATCTCCTGTGTTACATTAGCCGTTTTTCTTGAAAGTATCAGTGTTATTTGACATAAAATACCAAGGACAAAAAAAAAAAAAGAACAGTTACAGTTACAGTTAAATGACTCATAGAATGAAACTGGGTCATTCCTGTCATCTTTGTAAGATCATCAAAAGGAAAGGTCATGCTTGATGTGAGTGTTCCTTGTCTCTGGCTGACAGTTTAAAGGGATAGGTGGCCAATTATATGTGCAGAATATATAACTAATACAGATTTTTGGTCGTGGTAATGCTGCATTTGCATTGATAATGATATCCATTACCCAGTGTTACCATTTCCTTTTATTCAAACTACTGTATCAAAGATTTATTTATTTATTTATTTATTTATTTATTTATTTATTTATTTATTTATTTATTTATTTTTTGTTCAGTATTTTGCAGTTCTTTTTGTCATCATGAAATTCATAGCAATCTCTACATAATGACACATTATTATTCCTATTTAAATTTTGTGTGCATTTAAGTCATGGTTGAGCAATAATATAAGTTATATTTTGATATGACCTATATGATTGTATTGCTTCATATTAACTCCTAGTTATAATCTTTTGTGTGGTATCATAAGGTGTGGTATTTTTGGATAATAGATAATGGTTCAGTCATACAAAACAGATGCTAGGGCTGGACTAGACTACTTTTATATGCAGATCATGTTTAGGTCATGCACCTAAGATTGACTCTGGTTGAATATGGTTACATGTGAACGTCTATAACTGTCTGACATTTGCCGGATATTTTTAGTTTCCTGTTAAAAGACATATGACACTAGTGGTTATACAGATTTGAGGAATTCTACTTTCAACTGCTAACCTTTAAAATCTTGGCTACTGTTCTGTTATGAGCAAAAATGTGAATCTGGTAAAATTTTACCTTCTTGTCTTTGTAAATATATAAACTCTATCTTATAAACATTAAAAAAAAAAGATAATTGGTAGAGCAAATTTAGTTTTCACTCTTAGAGAAAGTGAAGACTTCAGAAAGATATGTTCTTAAGTCTGAGCCCATTATTCTGGTCCCCACTAATGATGGTTTTGTCTAACAATTGGTTAGCTTGATGGCTGCTGCCTGGCAAAGTGTCGTTCCCCCCCACACACACACACACAACACACACACACCACCACCACCACCACCTCCTCCTCCTCCTCCTCCTCACCATCAGGACTTTTGAAAAATGCACACTGAAAAATTGCAACTATGAATAATAGGGATAAATAATTCTCAGACTCATTAAATGTGAAAAGGCTGGTGATAGGAAGGGTGCTATCCTAGGCAAATAGCAGACACATTTGCTGATAGCAGGCTCGTATCCAGCAATTTCAAAAGGGGGGGGTGTTCTTTCTCTAAAAAAAGTGGACCTTTTACCATGAAACCTTCATGTACCTAGATAAAATTTTACCCAGACGGGACCTTTTACAGGCAAAAAGGGGGGTTCTTTTGGAACACCCTGTCTATGGGCCTAGATAGTTATCTTGACTAAGTATTTTTGTTTGTCTGTTTGTAGCATGAGCGAAGATCACCATCCCCAGTGTTGGTGGATGGGGAAGAACCTCCAGTTGAAACAGCTGCTGATGATGCAGAGACCCCAGAGGGAGCCACTGAGCAGAAGATGCCTCGGGTGAGAAAACCAACACAAAAGGTATCTGTGACTAGTCTTGTCTTAGCATGCTGCCAAGGATGAGTACTGTTAGCTGGTGATTTTTTTAAACAGTATTTGGGACCATTTAGAATGAGAAGAGCCGAGTTCTAGCTAGGCCACGACATAAGTATGGCGGACCAACATGAAAGGGAGACCACTTAGTCCTGTAATGGTCTCTCTACCTCTCCCCACATGTCGTCCCTCGACCGGTTGAATTGAGCAGAGATTTAATTACTGTGCCCCTGCAGGGACGACTTGTGGGGAGGCATGTGAGAGGTGGAGAGACCATCACAGGATTAAGCGGTCTTCCTTTTATGTTGTTCCGCCAAATTTAGGTCGTGGCCTAGCTAGCACTCGTCTCTTCTCATTCTGAATGGTCCCTCCATCTTTGAAGATGAAATTAGTTACAGAAAAATGCTTTTTCCCCCTTCTGTTCTGTATTTGATTTTGCTTCTTGATGAATGTATTTGTCCATGTCTGTCTGTTAAGCAAGCTATTCACAGTTATTTTCACTGTATGTCATTGTCATTTTAGTTATAAGTCATGCGATTGTTTGTTTGTCATGCTTTTTCAGTTTCCCCTACCTTTGTGAGGTTTATAAAGCAACATCTTGATAAAAAATTGGAATACATTTTGTGGTCCAATCATCATTTCCCTTAATCAAACAGTATTGTTTGCTTTGCAGCAAGTTGGCAATTTTTTTTTTTTTTTTTTTTTGGTTTGACAGAGTCTGCTCAGTTATTTTAAACAAAACAGTATCCCACAGCTTTTTTTTTTGATAATGCATTATTATTAATGTTAAAAAAAGTGACGACAAAATGCCCAGGATTCAAGCAAAATATTCTTTTCAATTATTTAAAAGTTAACAGTTACCATGAAATTTCGTAAATAAAACAAAAAGATTCACTGGCTTTGTTATATGATAAGCCACTTATAAATAAAAACATTTTTGTTGAACTCCGTGAAGTTTATTTTTCTAGTTTTGTGAGTTTTTGTTTATTTATTCATTTTGTAGTTTGCTGAGAGTGTAGAGTCAGGAGAAATGACAGCCAAGAATGCAACTGCAAGAAAGGTACCAGGATTATTACATAACATGCTCAACCTAAATTTCCTGAATTATTCGGATCTTATTAAAAGATTAGCAAAATATTACTGAAAGTGATTATGTTATGAGCATAAGCTTTCACTGTAACAGTTGACAAAATTGGAACAGGCTCTTTGTCAGATTTTAATATTAACATGAACTTTTGTGAAAAATAACATCAAAAGTAAAGTCACAAGTTTCTTCATTATTATAATGACTATATATGCATATAGCTATATTAATGGAAATAATAATTTTAAAAACGCTCAAATCAAGTTACCTACATTGTCCTCTTAATGCACATTTATTGATTTTAGTTCACAAAGCAAACATTCTTAAGTTATTGTTGTGAGCATGGGTTTCTATGAAAATATTGAGATCAGGAACAAAACTTAAATGTTTTGTATATAACCTGCAAAATACAGATGTCAGCATGTGATTTTCACTAAATTGACCTCACCATGCTAAACCCCACTTTTTTCTCTATATCTGGTTATAGTTCTCCAAAATTACCTTCTGAATATGTAGGTTGATATGAAGTAAGATTCAAAGTAAGACGAGTAAAACTGAGGTCATTGCTACCTTCTTCCCCACATGAATTAGTGAAGTAATGGAAATATTGTCAACTGGCAGGTTATTTAAGGAAATAAAATTTTTAGCCCATAAAATGCCCTAAAAATAAAAGAGCATATTGTTTTATTTGCAAGTTCAAAATGACCTTCTGTCCCATGAAGAGTTTACTGTCCAATATTAGAAAAGAAAATAATCAATAATATGAAGTTTATTCTGATTATTTTTTACCAAGACATTAATGTCAAAAGTGTCTTTGGAAATCAAAATAATATGCTATGGAAAAATGTGAGAGATGAATTGTCACATTATTGTTTGATTTATTTATGGAACAATTTAGGTAAAAGCATATTATGTGGTAATATCTGGTAGTTTTTATCTTTGTAGTGACATAGATATGTATCAATATCACCTTGGTCATTTCTAAATTATTGACTCCAGTGCATGTCATCATTTGTTGAAAGCTGTAGTCTTATATCGTCGTGCATAGATGGTCTTATGTAAAAAAATTTATTTTGGTGAAAGGGAAAACTATAAAATAATGGTTTAGTTTTTGATGTGATTTCTTACAACTTTCCTTACTTCAAATATTACAACTTAGTTCATTTGTTTACATCTTTGAATGCAGTAGTGTGCATCTTTTTGAATTTCTTATATAAAAGAGGAAAGTTATACACGATGGTGTCTTATTTCACCTATTGTCACATGTTCAGGTTTTGATATGTTGATTAATACTCTTTGGCAGCAGAGTAACTAAATTCTGAAAGAGTGATATAAAAAGGAAATGTTCGGTCCTTTTTTTTTTCCTGTTATTGATAGTTCTGTCATTTCCAATAGATTTGACAGCTAACACACTTAGTAAAAATAGCTCCTTTGTCTTTTGAAATGGACTCTACATTAAAAAGTCAATATAAGCCACGAAAAAAGAATTCATTCCATTAAGTTTTCCCCACAATTCTTTGGTATTCTTCAGAATTCTGTCAACTTGCCTCGATAAAAAATAGAAAAACTCTTTGATTGCTCCATTAAAAGATGGTTATTTGATTTCCACAGAAGAATGAGCTGGTGAAGAAGGCCATAAAACATGCCACAGCCTCACAGTCAGGACCCAGTCCAAAGAAGATCAAATTAGGAACTCCCAGGAAGAGTCCCAAGAAACCAAGGGTACACTACATGTTCTATGTGATATAAGCCAAGTTTCTGGTGAAGTTATGACGGCTTAATTTAGTACATACTGTCTCAGCGGTCAGTGTGAGGGCTGTTTATGTTCAGTGCCACAGCAAATGCGTCTTCATGTGCATTACAGTGAGCAGGACAAGAAGGGATTAGATGATGATGTATTATCATTATTAAAGGGATAATAACTCTTCGTTTTGGCCAAAAAATGAATTTTCCTGAATTTTAAACAACAATTTTCCCATACTTACCAATGGTTAATGAATCCATTTTTACATTCAAAGTTAGTCCCTGTTTTTTTTTCTAAAAAGTTTGGTTTTTTGTTAAAATCTCTTAAGAGATTATAACAGAGTATAGCCATCAATGGAGGTCACGTGGTCTAAAGACAAGCTCAAATATCAGAATAATAGCTATAACTGCTGTTTTTGTTGTAAAACAGAATATATTATATTTCTATGAGTTATTTAAAATGTTTTTATTGTGAAATTTAGATCTCATACGAAGAGTTATTATCACTTTAAATGAATTTTTTACAATGTACCAATAACATACAAAATTAAACAAGGTACATTAATACATGACCTTTCCTGACAAACAAATGAAAGGGATTAGATTGTGTGGTTATCTTTCTAACCATAGAAGTCGATTAGATTGACTAACTTTAGATAGAAACATTATCATACAGTCTGTACTAGGATTTGTCATCTCTTCTTGACTGGAAATGCAAATTTGTTTCACGATTTTTAGGCATTTTTTCCATATGTCCACTACGATCAAGTTTGTCGCAGTTTCTGAGGTTTCATGTTCCAACATCGGTCAAAATTTTCTAACAAAACGCCGTCAGATCCGAATGATTTTGTTTTGACATCCTTATGTCATAAGTAGTATTTCATGTTGTTTTTCTCATATTTTATTTCAAATGTCCCACATTCTCATATCTTTTTTGTTGGAAATGCCATTTCCTGCTTTACTAAGACTGACAAATATTTGTGGTTGTCATAAAGCCGTTTATAACAGTCTCAAGTTTTTAAACACAGATTTGCACCACAATATCTCAGATTATACTAAAACTATTTATTTAAATGTTACTATCATTCATGCTGGTGATGCATAAGATATATGATAATGTGGCAATGGATGGCTTGGTGTACACAGATTTTGGAATTATCACATTTTTCATGATCAGGTGGTGCCCCCTATGTCTGTTGTTGTGACTGGAGGAGGATGGGGGGGGGCTTTGTTTTTGGTGTTTTTCTCAGTGTCAGCTGATGTGATTTCATCACTTTCTTTCAGATGCCTTCAGTCCGCATCCCCTCAGAACTGACAACCAGAAAGCCACAGAAAAATATCATTCCAACTCCATGTAAGATCGGATTCCTGGGTCTGGGCATTATGGGTAGCGGGATGGTGCGAAATCTTCTGAAATCAGGTCATGAGGTCACAGTATGGAACAGAACGATAGAAAAGGTCAGTAAAGTGGATTGGAAAAAATTCTCTGTATACATACAATTTTCTGCAATAGCATACAAAGTGATGTGACTTCCATCCCCTGTTATCTTTTTATGTTGTTTTTACTTTAAAAAGTGTCTGTATCAAGGTTATGTTTGAAAGCTATTTTCCTCACACAAATTGAAACTTTTTGTACAATTGGTTATACATTGTGCAGTTTTTTTTTTTTTTTTTTTTTTTTTTTTTTTTTTTTTTTTTTTTTTTTTTTTTTTTTTGGTTAAAATTTTTTTTTTTTACCCTCTTTTTTTTTTTTTTTTTTTTTTGTTCCCTATATTTTTTTTTTTTTTTTTTTTTAAAATATTTTTTTTTTTG